TATGTACTATGCTTTCAAATGTAAGTACCATATATTTTTTGCGAGGGAGATATAATCGTAATCCATGTTTATGTTTTTATTTCCCAAGAATGTCAATGGCCTTCTAATGAAAAAGATAATTTACATGAAAATTATATCATCTACCAGTATCAGTTGTGTGCCTGCCTTTATATTCCCTGAATATTGGAAAATTTAAAGTTACTCACCCTTGAAACAGACGGTTAAAACCCATTAATAATCACTTTATCGATCCACTAATCCCAATCACTCCAGGCTTCAACAAACTCATATAAACAAGACAAATTCTGGAAGTTCAGCATATGCCTGTACTAATATTGATTTATACCTAGTGGACATCTTCTCGATGCGAACTCTGATTTCTAAACTTGCAGTTGCCTTGAAAGCATAAATTTTTAAGTCGCCATCGAATGATGTTGAAACCTCCTCGGCCAATGCCCAAGCTTCCTTGCCCCACCATGTACCAGCAAGTGATACTCCACCACCAGCACCTCCATCTCCAACCTCCAATATATCAATGCACATCCGTGGTCAATGGTTAATGGAGTAAGTTGTAGTTTCAATGGAAAAACGAAACCTTACATAAAGGTCTTGTTCATCATCACTCTCAAATTCATCTTCGAAATCATAGTCATCATCATTGTCGCTGTCATCGTCATCCACTATATCTGCAAGGTTTTGGGGACATAATTGCTTTATTGATACCAGTATACAAAATATTATTTGCTTAGTCGGTGGATAAAAAATGTTAATACTAATAGCTGAGGAGAATACAATAATACATTGGAGTGAATTTTTTTGTTCAAAGATTGAACATGTCCGGCATAGATTCAACTTACATAAACGGGAACAATTGCACAACCCAGGTTTATCACTGCACTCGTGTTCTTAGATGAGTAGGACATCAACTGTGGGTTTTGGGCGAGATAAGGGAAGGGCTCTAGCCCCATGCGCCAGATAGAAGAATTAATTTTCTAATTCTTGCTTGATTAACTTTTTGTGGAGGGTCCTCTTTATATAGAGGCCAAAAAATCCAATCAAGTAACAAATCACATATCTTATCTCTAATTTGCTTACGGCCCAAACTGAAAAATTATCTTCTAGTTCAAATGATAAAATTATCCAACCGAGGGATTGGGGATCTTATTCCATAACTGGGAGCTGATCTCACATCAAACATCACTGCACTGAACTCATGAAGTGTATTTGAAGCACCCAATTAAACTATGAAGTTCAATTAGTAAATAGGCTACGCAAGTGATCAATGCCATCTGTTCACAAATATTGTTCCACTTGGCCTAAATTAGAGTGACAAGTGCAAATTGCAGAAGTTACACACTGCTGTGCCCCCACACACGTACAATCTACTGCAGTTTTCTGACGGTGCGTGTTATAGTACCTTATAACTCGCATTCAGCAGACGCTACAAGGAGTCTATGAACATTTGGATCCCCAAATGCTTCATAGTACGTACGGACGGTGATGGAAGAAATGGAGCGAAAATGCAGAATTCCCACATCCTTCCACATGCGACAGTAGACTGAACCCAAAGCTCACAATGAAAAAAAGCAATTAAACATCACCAGAATTCGCAGAACCATTACCGTCATTGCCGATATCCTCCTTGCTGCCCTCGTCCTCCCCATCATCAACATCCTCGACCTCACGCTCTATCTCATCAGGAAAATCATCTTTCTCTTCCTCTCCATCAGGCGGCTCCACACTGTACCCCTTCCTCTTCTTCTTGGCAAATGGCACCACCGCTGACCCATTTCTACAAACAGCTAGCGCGCAGGAGCATCCAGGAAACGCGCCGCTGCCGGCGGCCCAAGAACCAAGCAGTAGAGGAAATCTCGGCGGTTTGATGCCTCTCCAGGAAGGCGAGGACCCTTGAACCACAACTCTCCCAGAGACCAAATCCATCTTTTAACCCAGCACGCACAAGGATTAAAACAGAGCGAGCGAGAGCGGCAGAGCGCCACTGAAGCCAAGTGGTGGTTGCTTATCAGAGTTATCGGTTGGTTAAAGGTACGCAGTCGCAAAACCGCCTTCCGAAGAATACGCCTTCGAACTGGGAAAACATGGAATCACACGACCCCGCTTCCTTAGAAAACACAGCCTAGGAGTTATACTGAAAACAAAGACGAACGCAATCTAGTACTCCTAGTAGTGACCATCGGGATCTCCCCTCTCTCTCTCCCAAATGCCGCGGGCCCACCCCCGCCGCCGCCGCCTCCTTCCCGTCGCCGCGGCGGCGGCCGCCCTCGCGCTCCTCGCGCTGCTCGTCCTCCTGCCCACCGCGCCGCCGGGGGAACCCGCGTCCCCGGCCTCCCTCCTCCGCGCGGCCATCGCCGCGCACCCGTCCCCCGCCTCATACGCGCACCCGTGCGCCGACCACCTCTCCCTCTCGCTCCACCGCCTCCGCGCCGCGCTCTCCGCGCTCGAGTCCGGCGACCAGCCAGGGGCTCTCCACCTCGCCTCCGCCTCGCTCCAGTACCAGTATGGCTGCTCCCACCTCCTGTCCCTCCCCGCCTTCCCCTCCCATCCACTCACCTCCCGCTTCCTCAATTCCCTCACCCCGCAGACGCTAACCGCAGACCCCAAACCCTCCTCCTTCTACTCCACAGTCGCAGCCTTTCCGGCGAGGGTCCATTCGGCTGCCACCGTCTGCAAGTCCGATCCGGCGTGCGGCTTCTCGAATGTGCAAGACGCCGTCAATGCGGCGCCGAATTACACTGCCGGGCACTTCCTCATCACCGTCTCTGCAGGTATATACAAGGAAAATGTCGTAGTTCCGTTCGAGAAGACCAACATTTTGCTGGTGGGTGAGGGAATGGGGGCTACCGTGATCACTGCCTCACGGAGCGTCGGGATCGAAGGTCTTGGCACTTATGACACCGCGACGGTGGCTGTCATTGGAGATGGCTTCCGGGCGAGGGATATCACATTTGAGAATACTGCTGGGGCAGGAGCTCACCAGGCGGTTGCGTTCCGGTCAGATAGCGACCGGTCGGTGCTGGAGAATGTGGAGTTCCGAGGGCATCAGGACACCTTGTATGCTCGCACAATGCGGCAATTGTATCGCCGATGCCATATTACTGGAACTGTGGATTTTGTATTTGGGAATGCTGCAGCTATGTTTGAAGAATGTGTGATTGAGACGGTGCCGCGGGCAGAGGGGTCCGGGAAGAGCGCGCGCAATGTGGTGGCAGCAAATGGGAGGATTGATCCAGGGCAGACCACAGGGTTTGTGTTTCAAAATTGCACAGTGGATGGTAGCAAAGATTTCGTTGTGTTGTTCCAGGCAAAGCCGCAATCATACCGGCTCTATTTGGGGCGTCCATGGAAGGAGTATGCAAGGACACTATTTGTCAGCTGTTATTTAGGCAAGGTTGTCAGGCCGGAGGGTTGGCTTCCTTGGCGAGGGGATTTTGCGCTCAAGACACTGTATTATGGGGAGTTTGATAGTCGAGGCCCTGGTGCGAATCAGACATCAAGGGTCAGGTGGAGCAGTCATACACCAGAACAGCATGTCACATTCTACTCAGTAGAGAACTTTATTCAAGGACATGAATGGATTGCGTACTAAATATAGTAATAGAGTCAATGTTCAGATTAGCGATTCTTGGTGGAGCTTCAACAGCTAAATGCTAAATATCCAACCCGTGATTTCCCTGAATTGCAAGCAAGTCACGCTCCCAGGATCTGGAGTCAAATAACTAACTGTATTGACTTAGTACATAACCCGAAGTGATCTGGTTTCTGCTGTTCCTTTTTACTCACAGGTTTTCCTTCAGTTTTTGCTTTGTATATTCAGCTACATTTTTGTAAATACATTATTTGTTTCCTGGAGTGACTACTGAAAATTGGTTTTGCTGCAGAATATCAAGGAACTTGCCTATTGTAGTCGTGTGGTATTCAGGTCGATATACATATGTAAAGCACATCATGGTTTGATGGTAGATTTGCAATTATGCATTCCAATCCAACCTGTATGTGTGATGGAAGCATCTTTCTGCTATCTATTTTTTGCTTGTCATTGTTTGGTTGTCAGTTTATGTCATTAACTGACTAATTTGTTGGATTGGTATCAGACATTACAAACATGCACACATCTCTCATGTTCCAAACTAGTAACATACATAACCTTAGCACTCTTACAAGAGTTTACAAGCAAAAGTGATAAAGTGAGACGTACATGTTACAGGGATAACTGATCTGCTATATACAATGTTCAGTTGAGCTACGAACAAGGCGGAATTTTTCTAAAATAAGCCAATATTTTTTTTTCACAGCCAACTCGACTTGATATTGACCTGCCAAATGCTCCATCATCATCATAAACAGCTAAGTATGGTACACCTATTGCAACTGCAATCTACCTCCCTCCAGCAGCTTATGCACACATTGCAAAGTAAAATTGTTGCTGCTTCTTTATGATTTGTCGACAGCTTGATCTGTATGCTGCTACTGAAGAATCGACCATGATATTTTCACGCGCCATCACTGCATTTTCTCGGAGATCTGTTCCGAAATCTGGACTGTTAGTAAACGACCGCGTACCCAGAAGAAAAAATTGTTCAAGCGTTCCCAACATAAGTGGTTGTCTGGATGATATATCGTTACATTTTTCCATGCATGCCGGTATAACTTATTTTCTGCAGGATGATAGTAACATTTTCCTGTCATTATCACTCCGACACACTACAATACACTAGGATACACATCTGTCTGTGATTATGTCTCCTGCAAATTAAACGAACTTGTTATTCCAATTAATTCCTTGGGACTCGCGTGAAAATATATTCCTTGGGACTCCCAAGAAAAGGAACATCTCTTAATCTCCAATGTCTCTGATGAAACTAATAGCTACTTGAGAAGTTGAGATCATAGATATGCTCCATGAGATTATTCTGGAATATATCATGACTACATCTTTACAACAGAAATTGCCATACAAGACAAATTGCAGTAGATGCAGACTACAAATTGCTAAAAAGACTGTCGAGTTCTTGCATTGCAGGATCGACCATATCAAGGCCAGCATCAAGATGCGTGAGCACACTTTCGTCAGCGAGCAGCTCTGGTGTGAAGAGCGTCTTCCAGCCGGTGCACCATGCGATGGCCTCCCCCAACGGGGGCTTCGCGGCTTGCAGCCAGTGCCGCAGCGTGCTTTCCCATTTTTCAAAGAATTTTTCGGCCTCTAGGATCGACACCACGTCTTGAGCGCGCAGGAGAGGTGCCCACAGCATCACGGTCCGGAACGAAGGGTCGGTTTGCTTCGGCGGCGTGATCTTCATCTCCCGTACCAACCGTGTTAGCATTGGCAGGATGTGACGCTTGCTGAAGGTGTCCCACTGCACAGGGCTAAGGTATTCCTTCCATGGCGAGACGACTTCGTAGTCACCGTTCCTGATCTTGCTCTCCACAGTACTGTAGAGGCTCTCGGGTAAGTGGCCGATGAGGGGAATGAACGGGCGTAGCCAGTCGTGGCAGTCCGGATCCCATGACGGCTTCCACTCTCGCACGTCGACAACCATCCTCGGCGTGATCACCTGCTCGATTATGTAGCGCGCGGCAGAAGAAGGCAGCCTGGCTTTCAACGTCCCTAGCGTGCGCTTCCCCTGGAGCCCCTTCTTGGACTCGGCCATGGCCTTCAGCGCATCCGTCGTCTCCACGCTGTCATCCCCTTGAAGCCTCATGTCATGCAGGAGGGCGAGGATCGTCTCGCAGCACTCCGTTTCAAGCCGCATAGCCCGTGCAATATTCTCCCACTCACGGCACTCCTCCTCCACGGGCGGCTCCGGCGGCACGTGGAGACCATTGTCGTATGGTTTCTCACGGTAGCCGAGGCCGGCCTTTGGACGCCGCCGCACCCGCACGACGGCTTGTATAGGCGCGACGATCCCTTGCCCCTGAGTGCCGAGACCTGAGCCCTCCTGGTAGTTCCATCGCCGCAGCATGTTCGCCACAGCCCGGCTGGGGAGGAACACGAATCTGCCGGACATATCTGATGGATTGAGCAGCTTGTCTTCGCCGGAGTCGCTCGTGTCGAGCAGCGTAGAGACGGCGATGTTGGACTCTAGTATCGCCATGCAGACTACGCAGCAAAAGCGGAAAGAAACGCCTGGTGCAGCCGCCGGAAAACCTGGCGCGAGATTATGTGATGTTTGGTCATGCACCGATGCTCGTCAATATATAGTAGCCCTGTTGGACTCCAGGTCTGAGCCGATTTCCTTTTTTTCTTTTCTGTTTCTTGAAAGCGGTCCGAGCCGAACTCTGACTAGTGAAACCGATTCTCTATGGCCTCCTGTCGTGGGGAAAGTAGTTCTTTCTTGTAAAGGATTTTTTTTAATAACTTCTTGTAAATGAATTAGAATCACGTAGCACCATGTACGTAACGATTATTTCCAAAGGAACCCTCGTATGTGTTGGACTCTTTTTTTTACAGCAAATAGACTTTATTCCTCACATAATAGACAAGTCATTTACTAAAAGAGGAGAAATAAAGTCAGGATAGAACTATCCCAAAATCCCCAAGATCTAACGGTAAGAGAATTTCTAGCTAGGCTATCTGCTACCTCATTCGCTTCACGAAAACAATGCACAAATGAAGACCGGCAGATTCCTTTGGAGGAACACGAATCTGTCCCTTGATTCTGGCAAATGCAAGCGCACCCTCACGCAGAGCGAGGTTTCGTTTTGAAACTTTTTGGCCAAAATTCCCAGGGTTCCATGAGACTGTCAACAATGCTTGGATGAGGCCAATCCAATCTAGGTGCATGATCCTCTCCCTGCACGTCAAGCTGCAACGTACGGCCAGTGCCCTAAAGAGTTGGAGCAAAGGGCTGTTCAGTGAAGCAAAGCTGCAGTTCCTCATGGCACAAGAGATCATCCTGCGTCTCGACACAGTCCAGGAAAGCAGGGCTCTGTCTGATGCTGAATGGGAGCTACGCAAAAAACTCAAGCTGCGGTTGCTAGGCTTAGTTGCGATTGAGCGGGCTAGAAAGAAGCAGAGCTCCCGCATAAATTGGCTTAGGGCGGGTGACACCAGCACAACTTTCTTCCATGCCAAGATCAATGCAAGACGGCGAAATTTTTTCATCTTATCGCTGAAGCAAGGAAACATCAGCGTGACAAACCACAAGGAAAGAGAGGAGGTGATCTACGATCACTTTCATGGCATCTTAGGCCAGAAGCTCATGCGTAATTGCACCATCAACTGGGAAGCGATCAACCTGCCACAAATAGATGAAGAAGGAATGGATCTTCCATTCTCTGAGGAGGAGGTTTGGCAGGCAATCAAACAAACACCGACGGATCGCGCTCCGGGGCCTGATGGTTTCTCGGGGATTTTCTATCGAAGCTGCTGGACTATCATCAAACATGATCTCCTCGATGCCCTAAATCAGTTCTACCACATGAATTGCTCAAACTTGGGGATCCTGAACTCTGCTAATGTAGTGCTCTTGCCCAAATCTGATGAGGCCTCCGAAATTGGACAGTTTAGACCAATCAGCTTGGTGCATTCCTTTGCAAAGCTCATTGCCAAGATCTTGTTCATCAGGCTTGCTCCAAAGATGGCCAACATCATATCCCCTGCGCAGAGTGCTTTCCTAAAGACTAGATGCATACATGACAATTACCTCTTTGTCAGGAATGCTGCCCGTAGTTTCCATAGGAAGAAAAAGCAGATGTTGTTGTTCAAGCTGGACATTGCTAAGGCTTTCGATTCGGTCTCGTGGGAGTACATAACTGCTGCAAAATCTAGGTTTCTCGCTCAGGTGGCGCAACTGGATCTCCCTCCTCCTGGCTTCGTCGTCCTCTACAGTCCTGCTCAATGGAATTCCATGCAATAGGATACATCATATGCGAGGCATGCGGCAGAGGGACCCCTGTCCCCATTCTTGTTCATCTTGGCAATCGACACTTTGCACCGTATCTTGCAAACGGCTCAAAACTCTGGACTCCTAACGCCACTACTGGGCAGAGATGCCAAGATGAGGCTCAACCTGTATGCGGACGATGCCATTCTCTTCTCCAACCCCAACGGAGGGGATGTCTCCTGCCTGCTGGAGATCATGAAGCTCTTTGGTGAGGCCACAGGGCTTCGGATGAACCCCCAAAAGTCCACTGTGGCTGCCATACAATGCCAGGAAATCAATCTAGACCATGTTCTAGGGGCTTTTGCTGGGGCACGTGTTGCTTTCCCGATCACATACCTTGGCCTGCCAATCACCTTGGGTAGACTAAGAAAGGTACACCTGCAATTCGTCCTTGATAGAATTAGGGCAAAGCTGGCCAACTGGAAGGGTAGACTGATGAATGTCGCTGGCAGACGCGCTCTAGTGCACTCGGTGCTCACAGCTATACCTATCTTCGCGCTAACCGCCATCCACACGAGCGTTGGTTTCCTCAAAGACATAGATAGGATCTGCAGAAAGTTTCTCTGGGCACAAGAAGAAAATCTCTCTAGAGGCAAGAGCAAGGTCAACTGGCGCCAAGTCTGCTCCCCGATGGAGCTGGGTGGGCTCGGGATCCATGATCTCCAAAAATTCACCAGAGCGCTCCGACTCCGATGGTTGTGGTTGTCCTGGACAGAGCCACATAGGGCTTGGGTAGGCTCGGATCTTCCATGTGATGAGCACGACCGAGCCCTCTTGGCTGCGGCGATGACAATCACGATTGGTGACGGTGCAACTGCTTTGTTCTGGGAATCTACATGGTTGGGGCCACTGCCTTTGCATGAGCTTGCTCCGGCGCTGTATAAACGAACAAGAGCAAAAAGGCGATCTGTCAGAGATGCACTGCATGGTCATCGATGGATTCAAGACACTAGAAGACCACCGTTCACTGATGATTTCCTCCACCAGTTCTGCCAAATATGGAGACTGGTTCGAAATGCTGAGGCAAGCCTCACTGTTGGTGCTGCGGACTGAATAACTTGGAAAACAACATCATCAGGAGCATACTTAGTTGCGGCTGCTTACCAAATTCAGTTTGCTGGCAGAGTGGATTCTCCATTCAAAAGCATGTTCTGGCGGGCTTGGGCTCCACCTTGCTGTAAGTTTTTCATCTGGCTGCTCATGCTAGATAGGCTCTAGTGCGCTGATCGGCTTCAGCAACGGGGGTGGCCAAACAACTATTTCTGCCCACTTTGCCTGCGAAATTTGGAGACCTCGATGCACATCCTTTGGGAGTGCTCGCATGCGCGGAGGATCTGGCAAGAGACTGCGGCCTGGACAGGATGCGGTTCACTCAATCCCCTTGCTTGGGAAAACCCTGAAAGCTCAAAAGAAATGTGGATTTCAATTGTCTCTAGGACGGTGGTTGAACACAAGAAAGGAATCAAATCAATGCTGATCCTGGTTTCCTGGAGAATATGGCTTGAAAGAAACAACAGAATTTTCAGAAACAAATTCTCGGCGGTACAAACCACACTAAAGGAGATTCTAGGAGACTTGGAGCTGTGGAGAATGGGGGGTGCGACCTGCCTGCTGTCGCCCTTCGGGGACCCAGGCTGAGAGATTTAGCCTGTCGGGTGTTTTTCCTTTTTTCTACTTTCTCTTAGTTTCCTCTTCTCTTCACTCCTTATGGCCAACCTTGGTCAATGTACATATTGCTCCCTTCCTATCATAATGAAAAGCCCAACGTTTTGCTGGTCTCCCTTCAAAAAAAGTCTTTGCAAATTCCAACTCCATTTGCTTAATTACACTCCATGATGATAGCCGCCTCAAGACCAAAGTATGCCTCTGGTTGATTAAAGGCTTCCACTGCAACCGTACTGTCAGATTCAATGATCAGTAAATTACACCCAGTCCTTTCAGCGAGAATCATTCCATTTCGGACTGCAATTATTTCCATATATACAACTCAAAAGTAAATCTGTACTTTAATTATTAACTAGTGGGATGCCCGTGTGCTGCTACGAGCTACAACACATATAAGTGAATGAAACAAATAATTAAGAACATCAGGTCGAAGCTCATTCCTCTCTCGTACGTCTGGGCTTGTTCAGTGGGCTCCTCAAAATGCAATTGTCTGGAAATCCAGCCCATATGTGGGGGAGAAATGTGGTTGTCCGAACTATCTGCCATGTTATCTCGAACACGCGGTCCAACACAAAAACCCCACCCATGACACACCCTTTTATTTTCCGATCGGACCCTGCCCTTTAAACGACATTTCTTGCTGGAGCTCTCTCCTTTAAAACCGACTGACGCCTTCTCTCCTTCACACCGTACTTCCCCACGGACTGACAAAGGATTCCCCAACCAACCGCCCCGCTCCCCGCCCTGACCCCCTCCCCCCATGTTTGTGTCGACCCGCCACCGCCATCAAGGAGGTGTGTGCCGCCAGTGATGCCCCCGAACCAAGAAGGCTGATTTGATGTCCTAAAACCGTCTAAAACATAATAAACAAAAATCTAGATGAAATATTGCATGGGTACAACAATGAAGAAAATATAATGAACAAAGCTAAAGTTTAAAGTGCACGCCCAGTGAACCAATTTGTGTGAGGCTCACATGACGATTTAAGCTTATTAATGCAATTCTAATATATTAGAAGTGTAAATTTCAATGTCAATTGACCAAAAAAGGGAAGTTGAAAAGCTAATTTATCCTTGTACTTGCATGTCACTTTAAGGATAAATAAACACTGCGATAAATATAAGGCACAATTTACTAAAAGTTTCGATAATTAATCTATATGATGCGGAATATCTTGATAAGACCAGGAAATAGCCAAACTGGTCCCATTTATGAAACAACCACAACCCACTATCAAGAGCACAGAAAAAACAAAACAAATTGTAGAAGATAAAGCTCATATGGGATATTTGCCCGATTTCTCCTACCATAGCATGACCATGACATGCATTTACACTTACATGTATTCTTAATACATTTCTACCACAGTTAGAGGAATCATTCAAAACACAACATCATCAATTTCTCAAGGGCATCCACTCAAGGCGTGAGTTGTTTTATTCTCTTAGCATCTTGCC